GAGAGAGAGAGAGAGAGAGAGAGAAAGAGAGAGAGAGCACAACTGTATGGATCTGCGCACCACCGCAATGACAGTGATTATATTTCAAGGACTCAAGAAAAAACTGGGTGTATCCACTTAGTGCGGTGGCGGAGAGATTAGTGCGCTGGTCTCCGAAGCGGAATGTCTGGGTTCGAGCCTCGGTTTGGATACAGATTTTTTTCGCCCCTTCCTGCCCACGCAGCAGTAATGGGTACTTGACTTCGAGTTGGGGAAGTAAAGGCGGCGCGGAGAGGAACTGGCCACCCTACCAACCACACTGTGACGAAGGCCCAAGAAGTTGTCTCACTAACAAGGCAATCCCCAATGTCCAGATCGGATGAGGGAACAACTTTACTATCACATTTTAACGTTTTGAAAAATCACAATATAATAAAGTTTGCACACCCTTTACAAACGTTTAGTATCTTAGATCTACTATTGTCACATTATATAGATATAATTATTCATTCTGTAAACTGTAAACCCTACTGGATATCACTGTTTTGTTTGTCCTTTCCTCAAGATGTATTTAACCAAACTATAAGCCCAATTGAATAAAAATACAGCAGAAAGTAGAGACAAACTCCTCTAAAAAAATGAAACAAAAAAATTGGACATGTCCAGTTCAACCATGTTTGGTTTCAAAGGTGCCAATAGATGCAAGTATGTTGGGACGTGTCTTTGTTCAAAGTCAAAGTACGAAATTTGACGCTTGATCAGTGGGTGTCTCAGGTTCCGATCTCATTTGAAGATATATGTCCGTCCCAGGACTTCTAGTTTGCATGAGCGGAGCTACAGCTTGTCTCTGTGGATGGATGATGGACCCCTGTTTTCTCTTTTTCTATATCTTTTTTATGTCTCGGCTTCCATTTGTCCAAATCTGCCTCTAACAAATGACGTTATTTAGCTGATTCATCAGTGTCAGTGGTGTAGTGGTTAGACACTTCGTCATCACACACAATTAAGACCCGAGTTCGATTACCATGTGGGGAGATATTTTATCGAGTATCTTGGTTTGTGTTCTGGGACATTGTTTTCCTCTCAACCCAGGTAGGCTCCAACAGGTAGGATTGAAGCCTGCTTCCTGAATGATCTAAATTGTGTTCATGGGGGAGTTTAAAAAAACCTTACATTTAATTTAATAATTTTAGATCACGGGCCAACTCCTGATAAACGGTGAGAGAAAGATGGACAATATGAGTAATTTGTAGGATCTCCCTTATAAATAAACTAGACCTTTACAGTCCTGCTAGGAAGAAGATCAAATGATGAAATTCAACACTCAATTTTATTACAGTACACACACTCTATGTTGCCAGTCGACTTGACGGTCTACCATGATAATGTGTTCTACTGTAAGGCCCGCACAGTGTAGTCTTATTTGATACTACCTAATCGTATTATATGTTCCATTTCTATCAAAATAGTATATAATACATAACGGAACAAACACTGACAATACGCTCAACACAAACACATAGAAGATTTAACATCATATCACTTCATCTTTATTATGAAGTCAATAGCAACAAACAACTGCTTTATCACAAATATGCGACAAAAGAAAAGCTGAATGCTACAGCTTTAATACTTATTCTTAAATCGCTGAATTCTTACCACGTATTTTGCAAGATTAAGAAAACTTCAGAAGCGAATTGAAACGTACAAAAGCAACATATTATCATAGAAAAGGTATACCAGTGAAAGACCTGTTCACCCAATAACGGGCAAAAAGACAGCTGAGGCGCATAACACTTGAAGAGACATGTCTTTGAGAAACCAACAGATTTTGCAGTCTCCTAAAGTCTTTAGAGAACTTCAATGTCATACGCTACTCCAGCTGTGACAATTGATGAATGAAAGTTAACCTGATCACCACATAGTGTGCAGCGAGGGGAGAGCTCCACTTTAGACAATAATAGGCTGTTACCTCACTTCGTTGACCCCTAAAATTGAGGTGGGGGGGGGGGAGGGTTGCCCATTCCCAAATCCCCACACAGTGACTTCTTTCAAAGTAATAAATCTTGTCTTTAGATCAAGCTCCTAGGAAACTGATGGGGACGGTGGAGGAGACTGTTTTTTTTTGTCATTGATGAATTAGTATGGGTAAAGTGAGGCTGGAGGAGTCCTTGGCTCAGTTTGTACCATGCTGGAATACAAAGCAGACGGCCTAGGTTTGAATCCCCAAAGGGATGCTCTGAACTATTTGGGGGATTTGGCGAGTTTTTAAGGCTCTTCACCCATTTAACTTGGTCCTGTGGGATATGGATATTAAATTCAAAGGTCCCGCCTTTTAGATAAGCTTAAAGAATTGAAAGGGAGTTAAACCTATAAAAAGACACTGACAGTGAGGTAACTTCTGTTGTAAAGCAAAGCCCTTGTGCACACACTTCCAGTGGAAATATTTCACCCCACAGGTAACCCATCCGTGTTATTATGATCTTTATGATCATCATAGCAGTGACATCTCTCCTTCACAACAGATCTAGAATGATAAGTCAATGCGCTTGGCCAACAAAAAGTCTTTCAGCAGTTGCGGGAGAGGCAGAGAGTTGATATACTTTGTGTTCAGGGGACTCATGGCACTGCGGATTGTCTGTCGACACAAGCGCTTCAGATCGCGGGGGTTGCCGAGTTCATGCTGAAGCCACACGTTGAACACAGGAACCTGACAGCGAGCCTGCTCCACACGCGGGACATCCAGGATGGTGGTTGATCTTTCACAATCTGAGCTAAGCAGGAGTCGCAGCATAGGTATGTGGCCGACCCTTGCTGCGTGGTCCAGGGGTCGTTTACCTGTTGAGGGTCAAAAGTTTTAAATTCAAGATTTTGGCTTGAAAGATGAGACAACAGATTTGCTAACTCCAAGGCTTTTTGAACCGAGTCCCTCTACTAACATAACAAACTTTAAATTATAAAACAAATTCACATGAAAATACCTGTTTAATACTGAAAAAATCATTTTCCTGCAGCTTTATTGAAACTCTTTTATGTAGCTTCTTTTCATAGCTGAGAAAAAGATCAAAAAATGAAATTTTGGAGAAAAAAATAACAACAAAACAGACAGAAAATAAAACAGATGGAGAGTGATAAGGAAAACCCTGATATGGGCACGACCCTATAACTAAATATAAGAGTATTCTAAGAAAGGCACATGTATAATACAAGTATTTCAAAAGAAGAGATACTACGGTCAATAATAAAAGTTTGACCCACAGCAAGTACTTTTTGAATACATCCTACAACTGTTGTTTGAAAGCAGTCCTTGGATTGCCAATTATGTTTCCTGCAGTAGAAGCTGATTCCTACAGTGCAGGAGGTTAATGAACTCGATGTGCCCTGCATGAAAGTTTTTGCCATCATATATTAGAGAAAAAACATCACTGCAAGTTGCACCCACAAAAATGTCAGGCAATATGGGGGCTCATCATGTATTTCAAAGTTTAAAAAATTAAAAATGTGTCACAATTCAAGCTGGAATCAGGCGCTCGTTAATTTTTGGGCACAAAGCGATTCTGGCATAATCTTATAGTCTACAGTTTGGCCTTGCTTTTGGTGAAAGAATTACCCAACTATCTTGAATACAAGTTGAGTACTTTGCTTTTAAAGGAGGCAGGGGTCAACTGGAAGCAGAGGTAAAATTAGCGACAAAATGGCCGCCAAAATTTGGCAACTTCCAAAGCTTGAGAGGCCTTGGAAATTGCAAATTTACATTTTTGTGCCTTTGGTCAACATTTTTCAGGAAAAATCGACACAGAAATGTGTTTTTAAATGACATAAACTATGTTGAGCCAAATAACAAAAAGTCAATAAAAATTGCCACACTGGCAAAAAACCGAAATTTACAATGATTTCTTTATTTTGAAGAGCGCCTGGTTTCACCATGCAGCCTCACAAATTTTGCACCTAAATGCAATATATGTGGTTTCTGTCGTCAACCAAGCAACCTGTCATAGTACTCACCATTCTTATCTCGCGTATCAGAAGATGCTCCATGATTTATTAAGAAAAGGGCCGTCTTTTGTCCTTGGGCCATATGAAATACATTTTTTCCTGCCTTGTCTGTCTGTATAGAAAAAGAAAAGAAATAGTATGGATAATAAGGCAAAAGCTGAATTTTTCTTCCTCTTAATCTCTTGGTAAATGTATTAAGCATTAGTCCTGGTAGATAAGAAATATTCAGTACATTTTACCCTGAGCCACAACAAGGCTTGTTTGCCTTGGAAATTCTTCTACCAGTGGTTCCAGTTTCTAAACTCCAGAGCAGGAAATGTTATGATGAATTCTATATTAAATCCATTTCTCTGACAAGCCAATCCCAGTCACTTGTGGTCAGAACTGCAGTGACGGTGAGTTGCTGGCAGTGGCTCGGGCACATTCCTTTACGATGACTTTGACATCAAATTACTTTTTGGTGATTGCTGAAAACAGGACTTTTTTTAAATCAGGAGTTCATTCATTTGATGCAGAACTACCAAAATAGGTTCACTTGTTTTGATTTAAAGACCAATTTAGTGACGTATTTGTCACTTTTAGATTTTGTTCCAAAAGAGGGACCCAGCACAGTGGGTTTACCCCCTAGGAGGTAAAAAGAGTTAAAAAGTGAAGACAATGCAGTTTGCTCATCATGAGAGTTCATAACACAAAGCAAAAATCTGTCCCAACAATATATCTCGAGCTTGACATAAGGATTTTTAAAGACATCAAACAGTTTTATAGAAATATATCTGTAGGAAAGAACTTCTAAATTAAAAAAAAATTCCAACCCGAAATATAATAGAGCACAAGGAAACAAAACAAAAGCAAGGAGACCTCCAACAAGAAAATGAAACTACAGCCCCAGCGATGAGTCACAGAAATTTTTACTTTCATCCCAACAAGAGAATTCAAGTCACCTGAGGTGTCAGTCTAAAAGACCAAGCTATATGAATCATTAAACACAACAGAGATAATTTATTATCAAAGATTTCCTAATTAAATTTTATTTCCAGGCAAACAAAATGTTGACATTCGGAAACTCTCCTAACTGTTGAGTTTTAGAGATCTATTTCAGCATGTTTCCCCTACAGTCTACAGTATTGTAGGCTGACAAAACGCCAGAATGTAAAAAAGGTGTTTTGTCAGATTATGGCACAATAGTCCTGGATTCTACAAATTGAGATAATGAAACAATAAAAAAAAATTGTTCAGTGCCTCTATAGCCAAAAGCTGATGTAGGAAAGCATTTTTTCCCCCCTTTTTTTCATGAGCATAAGACTTCCAAAATTACAATGAATAATGATTCATGACTAAAAACTCCATAGCCCAATGATATAAAGATGGTGCAGGAGAAGCACGAACAAGATGCTTGCAAATAAAAAAATTTTGCAGTACGCTTCCATGAAGAACCTTACGTGATTTATGTCAGCCCCTGCCTGCAGCAACATTTCCGCTATATCTTTCCTGCCCAGACCCGCCGCCATCATGAGTGGCGTGGCTCCCTGCTTGTTCTGGTAGTCAATCTGGCAACCACCTGCAAAACAAAAATGATGAAATGTTTACCTGCCTACTTAACGAAAGGTATATAGATCTAGTTAGAATTTTGAGATCAGATTTTGAAAACAGATTAAATTATCACCATGAAAATATTAAAAATATCTTAAAAATAAAAACCAAACAATCCTCCCCCCCCCCCCCCCCCCCAGGATGATAGGAAAAAAAGCTGAGATGCATTTGTATCTTGATTTTAAAAATAATGGTCAATAGGAAAGGTCCAGCCTGCTAACGAAAAAAAGAGAAGACAATAATTTCTAAACACCATAGAAGCACTCATTGTACCTATTCTTCATTATTTGGCTGGGTGTGGTTTCAGCGGTGGTGAACCGTGAACGTGTGCCCTCCCTTTACACAAGCAACAGGGAAGAGTGTTTGTGACAGAGCGGCTATGAAAGCATGGTCTCCGCAATGGCTTTTATGAGACAGCAAAAGATTCCATAGACACAGCCAGGACAAAAAAGTTTGAGATAAAAAACGAAATAGTTTATTAAAAAAACCCTCCTGCAGGAAGCATGTACAATTAATTAATATTTTTTCAGGACAAAATGAGACAAATCCTTAATTTACTTAATTTATAAGAACTTTGAAAAATACTTGTGGACCAGGATTCCTAAATCAAATTATCTACAACAGCTCAAATGCCAGAAATCATTGTACAACTCATAATTGCAAGGAATAATTTCTTTGAGGAACGATAGGCGGCAGCTTACTGAACAGTCTCAATCAAAGCAAATTTTTTGGAGCTTCCAAGCAGGGAATTGAAATAGGAAGGGGAATTCAATAGTATTTGTGAGGCAGTATGGTGAAATCAGGCCCTCTTCAAAATAATGAAACAAGAAACTGGCATTTTTCCACAGGTTTGGGAATTTTTAGTGACTTTTTATTTTTTGGCTCAACACCTTTCACGCCCATTAAAGAACACATTTCTGTGTGAATTTTACAGAAAAACGATGATTAAAGGCATAAAAGATGTAAATTTTAGGTTTCCATGGACTCTCAAGCTTAGGAAAAAACAAAACTTTGGCAGCTATTTTCTCGCTAATTTTACCTCTGAAACCAGGTGACCCCCACCTCCTTCAATCACCAATATCTTGACTTGTATCCAAGACAAATGGATATTTTTTTAATCACAAACAAGGCAAAAGGACAGGCTTCATTAAGGTGATACCAATAGCTCCATATGCCCAAATATTGACGAGCGCCCGATTCCACCACGTCGTGACACATTTGATGAATCAGCAGGCCTGAACTACAGCTCATATTTTTATTTTCTGGCAATAACAACAAGTGGGGTTCTAACAATGTAAATAAGTGGTTACCTTTGATCAGCGCCTGTGTAATACGATCGTCAAAGTCTCGAGTAATGGTGAAACAAGTGAACAGTGGGGTCGTGCCCTTTGTATCTGCAAGGTCAAGGTCAGCTCCTGCTTTTACCAGTTGCTCCACAATGTCAAAATTGTTGTTGCCGACAGCCTGAATCAAAGGTGTGCGGCCACTTACACTCTGTATGTTAGGGTCAGCACCTGCAAAGAAAAAACCCCCAAAATACAGTGATAACAAATGTTTACATGACAAGTGTATAAAAAAATGGTAATAGTGCTAAAAAAAACCCAACAACTAAATCCCAATTTTTAGAAAAATACTTAAGTTAGGCCCTATACAGTAAAGCGAAATGAACACCAGTACTAGACCAGGTCAATAAAGCACTTATTGTACCTTCTGTGTGGTTCACGTAAAAACAAAAAGTGAAGGGCAAGCCCAACATTGTTGATTGCGCAGGAGGTTTGGGGGGGGGGGGGGGGGGGTTGTTATACCAAGGGATACTATACTACCACTCATATTATAGAAAACACTTTGGACGACCATTGTTCGTTTCTCTCTATATGCTTGCACAGTGATTCGTTCAAACAGATGTCCCTTTGCTATCGATAAAAAATGGTCATGTTATTAACACTTTTCTTTTCATTAAAACTTGGATTCAACAAACTTGAAGGTCGAACCCGACCACTTCATTGAAGGCCAGTTCCACTACACTATACTATACAATATAACACTACATCTTACTAGAAACCAGGGCCAACCCACAAAAAAATTAAATCTATTTTTCCCCAATAAAAAGTACATGTACCTCCCAAAACAATTTTTACCATGTTTTAGGAGCAACTTGACAACAATAGGTCTTTGGATGGCTGCAGCAAGGGCAAGCGGGCTAATGAGATTGACATCAACAGCGTTGACGTTGGCGCCACGAGACAGCAGGAACCTTATCACCTGAAGCAAAAAAAGGAAAAGAGGTTTTTATAAAATTTGTTATGCAGTAATAACATTGGATTGAATAAATGTGTGTTTAGTTTGATAATAAGATAAGATAAGATAAGATAATACTTTATTGTACCAGAGGGAAATTTGTTTGGCAGTACAAGACCATAAAAACACATGCATGCATAAATAGAAATTTGATTACATATTATATTAGTTCAATAAAATTCAATATGAAAGAAAAAGTAAAGTTGACAATAATATATCACATCAAATGCATCATTCAACTACATCTAGGAATTTATCACAAGACTTTTAGAGTTACATATACAGATAAATGTATTTGAAAAAGTAATACACACTGATATTTATTCCGACAGTAGCCTTATACTAGATGATACGAAACTTTTAATATGTGTAACATAAAAAGAAAAGTTCCTCTATAATGCATCTGTCTTAAGATGGAAACCTGTTCAACACCTGGAAATGGAATGAGAAATTTCTTCCCTTTCAAGGGCTTCGACCTCAGATGGAAATTACTTTGTCCAATTGGCCCAAATTTGAAACAAAACTGCTAATTTTGGTTCTATTGACTTTATTCTTTATACAGCATCGCCAGGCGAGGAAGGGGGAAGGGGTGGGGTATGGGGGTAACTGTTACCCCATTCATGTGAGCCCTGAGTGATGCAGGTGGCCAAGATGGTGTAAGAGAGAAATTGCACCAATGCTTGTGAAAGTGCAGGAGTGGTGCTCCATCATGGAAACTTTCCTTGGTAGTGGTAGCCAGAGGTATGAAATTAATTTGAATCCTGATTGCCATTCTGATCATACTTAGAAAAAAAAATTCCTCGACTCGTTGTCTCATACAAGGGAGGGGTCGAATGGTTGATTGTGCAATTACACCGATGCGCGGGGCTTAGGGTGGAAATGAAGGAAACATTCAATTTTTATCGTCTCAGTTTCCCCTGGGTGACTTTGGGCGGTGCCTTTGTCCCCTCCTGGCCTACCTTGATCTGCAGTAAAACAATACTCCCTATTCCTTTCCTTTGCCTCAAGATCTACTTGAAGTAGAGGCTGGCATTAGCACTATTGCTCCATCAACAGCATCGATCACTTTCCACTTGAAGTTGATGGTTGGTCATTATCACAAATTTCCACAACAAGATAAGATTAATCTAAAATGATCTAATTCGTCATTACATGATATCTCGTAGTCAGTCAATTCATCCAAAGCAATTTCTAGAAATCTGTCTGGCTCTTCAAGGGCTTCCAAGGCACTGTACTTTTCTTCTGAGCCATAGCAGGTTGAATAACAGGAGCTGAAATCAAACTGACCCCGTTGTCAGCCTTTATTTTTGCATTCTTTGCTGCTTAACTTATATAATTATATAAATGCCATCAAAACCAAACTGTCACCTCTCCTCCCTTCCATACACAAACAAATATTCACACTCACTTAAGTATACAAAAAGCATTTGTGGAAAATATAATAATAAGCTCACCTTTATTTCACTATGAATCACAGCAACGTGAAGAAGTGTGTATTCCTTCAGTCTGAGCTGACGGACCATTCTCGTCCAGTCCTTGACTGTGAAAACTTTATCTCCATCATGTTCTGTAATTTGAACAAGAGAAAATATAGTAAATGCAGTAAAATATTTGATTGTTGGCAGGAAAGTTCCATTTGGCTGCAGTTATGATGAGAAAAAAAAAAGTGGTTCAAACCCGAGTAGTGGGAATATATATTATAAATAAATCTAGGGTAATAGACCAAAAATTTTGAATCACAATCTAGAACAAAAGTAGAGTCACCAACAGCAAATTATCATTTCCAATTAATTTGGGCACACATGTCAATGAGCTATGACGGAAAAGTACATCCCGAATAACAGCACTGTGTTTTTTAACCTTCCTTTTGTCCGAGTCTCTGAAACAGAAAATTTGTATCAAATTAGCTTTTCACAAGGAAGACTTACCAACATGTGGAGAATTTACATGGAACCCTTCGTTCAAGCGTCTCACTATCATTGTGAGGTCATTGAATCGGACAGCTTTAAAAGCTTCATCTTCATGCTCTGGAATTTCCGTTAGCATTTCAATAGAACTATCAATGGCATTGCTAAACTCTTCCAGTGCTTCCTCCAGTTCCATTTCTGTCTCAGAGTTCTCTGCCAAATCTGACTTCTCTTTCACATCCTGGAGCACAGTCTCCATCCGATCTGTTCCATTCTCCATCTCAATTCTTAATTGTACGTTTCAGCACCCAATCTGGAAACATAAATATATACAAACGCTGAAGACATGAAATGATACACATTCAGTCAAGCAGGCACGTAACAAACCAGGACCTAACAATTTAAAGCATCGATGAAGAGAACAGGTTTTTATTATTTTCCAGATTTTTTCCGTATTCATGGATATTCTTTTAGTACTTAAAACAAGTACACAGGCTAAATTCTTAAACAACATAAAGATGTCAATGTCACACCAATTTTGCTATGCATGTGTGTGTTTGGCTATAATCTTAGTTAACGCGGCTATAATCTTAGTTAACAAAGGCATCGGCTAGACAATATGAAAATTAAACTTTATTGAAATGCTCGAGCTCAACTTACAGTCAACGGAAAAAAAAAGGAAAGAGAAAACGCATGCCATACCATTACAAAGTCCAGAAGTTCAGTTTTTTTTGGTCTATATATATATAAAAGATGGTGAACGTATGTATGATATATTAAAATGGAGAACTAAATTAAATACCTGGAATACCATACAGTGCATAGTCCATAGTATGGTGTGCGGCCAAAGAGGAACCACTTTGTTATGGAAACAGGGTACATTAAAAGTACTAACAAATTAATGATCAAGCGGACACTGATATATGAAATGGATTTACTTCACTTCAATCCGTTATACAAGTTTACCCCCCCCCCGATATTTCGTGGGTTAAAGCGGGATACTTATGAAGCTACATTATACAAGACTAACTATGAAACTGCAAAATGGCATATTGTTGAAATTTTGTAGCCTATCCAACCAAGGAAATGTTGATCAAAGTAACTTTACATGTGAAAAAGATTGGAGACATTCTTTCCTTTAAATTAAAATGACATACATAAGTTTCCTCAGTCTGCAGCATAAAATTTCTATAGTGACTTTTACTATAAAAGCTATGATCGATCAGCCTTGAAAATTTAAGTTCTCCAACTTTAATAATATACTACATTTTGGGTAGGTTCTGTTTTGTGTTTCAAATTTGAGCAAAAATACTTCTTGTAAACGAACAAAATAATAATAAATTTACATTATATTTTAGGCAGGCCAGCATGCAGACATTAAAATTCATAAAAATTATTCAAATTAATCAAATCAAGGTGACCCATCATCCATTTGAATTTTTGCGTGGTCATAACTGTATCTGTAGGCCCTTCAGATCCGAATCATGAGTAGTCCTATAGGCCTAGAGGGTTTTTAAAAGAGGGCTGTAATTACATCCTTAAAAAATAATAGACCACCGTACTGACCCTGACCTGAGGGCAACCCACTAGATCTAGATTCTAGATCTAATCTAGATCAAAAATCTATGTCAAGTAGTGCGGCTCAAGCACAACTAAATTAAAACCCTGACCCATGATAGAGTCAAACCAAGATTAAGATCCGTCAATCAATCAAGCAAATTTTAAGGATGGAGAAACCAAGTTTCTGCTCTTGCCTCACCTTCGCTAAATTTTCGTAGATCTATAAACAGATCCTCATATTGGTATAACAATAATATAGGAGAAGACGCCTTACTACTGCTAGATAATTTAATTATATGTCAGAGTAGTTGAAACATTAAATATTGTAGTAGTCTACACTCTAGTCTTTAGACCCATGTAGAAAGTGATCCAGATCAGCAGCCCCCAGCCTGGCCCTAGCCTAGCAGTAGGCGAGTAGATCAAGCAGACAACTGAATAAACGGAAGAGCTCAGAGTTCAACAAATAAATGTTGCTGCAACTTACGTTTTAAAAAAGTCCTCGTAAGAGCCACAAGCCAGTGGGAGTAGGATAACTAATTCACAAAAAAATGAATCCAGTTTCGGGTGATGGGCAACTCCCAGCTTCGACTGAAATGGGTATCATCATATTATCATTATCAAGTATCGGAAACCCGGAACAAGTCTCACTTTTCAATGTTGACAAATGGCTAAAAATAGAGCCTGATTTTTTCGCATTGGCTTGGGGCTTGGGCTTGGCTTGGCCAACATTTTACGTTCAACTTGATTGGCTGGAATACATTTCATTGCGGGATAAATATAGAACCGTTGACCTTTTAAGGTGGTATTTCCCAAGACACTTTATTGTCCATACAAGGATACGCAGGACCGCTTCGTCCCCTTGGGTAGGCCCTATTGAATAGCGTAAGCGTCGCCCAATGATCGAAAACTCGAGTAGATGGTTCGAGCTCAAGTCGGGTTAACCGACAACAACAACAAATAATACACGTAATCATAATAATAAGAAGAATTATAATCATAGGACCATTATCATCATTCTTCTTCTTCATCTTCTTCTTGGTTGTCCAAAAGAGGGAGGCTGTTTTTACCATCAGAACTACGACCAAAGATCGGGTATACTTGCTACGACGTAGATATTGGATCATTGTTTGCACCCCCCCCCTCCCTCTCTCTCTCCCTTGTTAAATTAGTAAGTGTTTTACAGCGCTCCCAACTGCAGAATAACTGTCCTCAGAGAAATTCGCGCGCGCAACCCGCAAGTTGCGTACGCAACTTTTGGCTTCAGCGCAACTTTTGCGCAACTTTTGCGCAACTTTTGCGCAACTTTTGCCATTTTTGTGAATTCGCGAATTTGAGGCAATTTTCTGCAAAAGTTGGAAAAATAATAATTTAATTTCGGTAAAAATAACTGAAATTTTCTTCCACAACTAAAAATAAATAAATGTAATAAATAACGACGCGAAGGGGTCAATTCGTTCGTACCTGAAATTAGATCCACCACTTCCTTTGCACTACGGGGTGCCCAGTGCCCGTTGCGGATGAGATCGGGCTGGGACGATCGCCCGACTCTTTGTCTGAAAACAACGCGTTTCTTTTTGAGGCAATGAGTCGGGCGCGATCGATTTGTGCCACAATAGCCACTATGCGCCGTCAGTCTGTCGAGCAAACCGACTCGTCCCAACCTGACAAGGACCTCCCCAAAATAGTCCTGTTTGGACTGAATCATCTTCTTCTACTTCTTGATCTAGCTAAATCTAGACTCTAGATCTAGATATATATAATAGAGTAAACTCACTCGTAAACACGATCGTCTGATTACTTAGCTTGCTTGGTTCCGTAGCACCAGGTAGATAGATCTAATATAAAAATTTGTGAAAGACTTTAAATCTTAGGCCAGGAGGATAGATCTAGACATGGATCGATTCATCCAGAAAACCC